CCCCTTCCCCCCCCCAGACAGCACAACAGTTCTTGCCACTCACACCCTGCCTTGTTCACACGGGGAGGCTGCAGTTTCAGCGTGAGAGCGTGAAGGTTTCTGCAGTTGGCAAGAGCCCTCAGGCAGGGCTGAGAGCTGCTTTCCCAACCCCAGAGCCCTCACTAGAAAGGCCTTTACATATGCTGCAGCAAGCAAAGCCATACTCTACCCCACCACCTCCTCAGGGAGCCTTTGCACAAGTTCAGGCCAGCCCAGGACCAGCAAGGCAGGAGCACAGCCAGACGTTGCCAGCTGAACACCCTGCAGCCAGCAGCAGAGACGCCTGGGTGCTTGCAGGTCACTCGCACTCAGGCCAGCGTACCACCTCCACCCCCAACTAGAAGATGCCCAGCCACTCTGCTTTTCCTCCTACTCCTCTCCACTCACAGAAGACAACACAAGCAGATTTCATCTAGCCTTTATTAAAAGGAAAGTTATAAAAAGAGGTTCAGGAGCTCCCAGCAGCTCCAAGTTAGTAGTGCAAACCACTGGTTAGAGAAAAGAATCATCCCTGCAAAGACACTGAACGCCATTTGGCTATGCATCCACAAAAAGGAAGTTTTCCCAGCTGCAGTCCTGCCAGCTCAACCAGAGGCCCAGGACAGAGCAGGCTGCCAGCTTAGGCAAAGCCTCCTCTCCTTCCCTCTCCTTCAGCTGCATGGATGGCAAATGCAAGTCCCAGGGGCATCCTGATCGCAAGGAGAAGGATACTGCAGGAGGGCAGATGCAGACAGCGTTCTAGAAGAGGCACTGAAGGGTCACCTGGTAGCAGCTCAGACACTAGCCAGGTTCATCGCAGAGGAATTCCTTTGTGAGGACAGACAGATCCATTTCAAACAACTGAAGTACCTCTGCAGAGCAGCTGGAGAACGATGCTCAGTCACTCCTCCAGCAGATGCTGGAGGCCCCTTGAGCTGCTCTGAGAACATCACAGGGGGCTCTGAATGGGGTAAAAGCCCTCTGAGCCTGCGGCTGACCCTGCAGGAACACAGTACTGGCTGCTCAGAGGCTGCAGAGCTCTGAAGAAAGCAGTAAGAAATGCTTATTATATAAAAGAATTTGGCCTGTGTCATCTTCTGTTTTTCCCCTCCCCAAGCCCTACTAATCAGGGCTCCTCAGCTGGTGATCTGAACTGGTATCTTCCAGCAGAACAACATCTGGTCCTGGTCATCTACCAGCTCCCACTTCACAATCAGTTTAATCTGAAAGAGAGAGAAGAGCAGAGGGAAATGAGAGTGTTCAGGACACCACAAGGCAAGGACACTGTGGGGCCAGGGGAGCTGCTACTTGTGCAGAGCAAGGAGGTCCTGGGAGCTCTGCACAAAGAGCACTGAGCTGGGGCACTGCCCCCACTGCAGCAGGTGAGCCATGCTCACACAGTGGCTCCTGGAGTATCTTACGTGGATAGAGGGTGCTGCTGCATGACACAGGAGCCCTCCACACACTGCACTTGGATCACCACTCTCTGAGTAAGCAGAGAATGGAAACACCCTGCAGCCTCCCAGCTGAACCACACCCTGGAGCCCAGCAGCACCCTCAGTTTGGGAGCATTTGGCTGAATGCAGCAGGCTCTGCAGGGGGGCTACGTACGAGCACTGTACAGAACAGGCAGTTATGTGGGCAGCTGAAGCTGCTTCTCAGCAGCTGGAGCCAGGCTGCTTACTCTGCTGGGTCTGTCCCAAAGTGTTCCCACTTCAGACAGAATCATACTCACAGCAGAAGTGCCACCAGATACTCTTGAGGATTCTTTTAACCTCTTCCCCACCACCACAGGACAAAGCACCCTTCCTTAAAGGCAGGTGGTGGGACTGTCTCAGGAAGGACAATAGCTCTGAGGAGCAGAACGGCTGCCTGCTTACTTACACTGGGGTACTCGCTCTTCACAGGGAGTTTATTCAGGTAGCTGTAGGAATGGCCCGTCTGAATGGGGCACTGGATCCCGGACTTGCATCCATCAGGCTCAGGAATGGGAAAGGGTATGTCCACATGCAGCATCTCGCCATACACCCTCGCTTTGCTGCCCTGACTCTCGATCTCTACAGAACACAGAGAAGCGTGAGCATGGCAGTGAAGCAGAGAACACGTTTCTACCTTATACCCCCCC